GTAAATGCAGCAGACAATGGACATTGTACACCATCTCCTGCAAGCCATACAGTTTTTGGAACTTGTTAACAAATACTAGCAATAATTGTCGTGCATAATCAAGGCGGGAAACAGAAAAGCGACGATGAGAAGGAAAATACACGGATATAAATAGATCTATAAACTTTTGATAACGTTCATGGGGAAGAATGTCCTTAAACACAATGGGACCAATGTAAATCAGCAGCTGACGAAAGTCAATCGCTTTCCACTGTTTGTACGGTGTAATTTCCCGGCACTTACACGGGAATAAGGGCACGTATATTTCGAATCATGCGATCAAATCAAGCGATCATGTTCAAGCCAGCAGGCCCGATGCGTACGGGTCGATCAACGTTGACGAAAATGGAAACTAATCTACGGACAACACCGAGACATACGGCGTGCATATAATCTAGGGGAAAGCAGTGAACGAAATCAATGGGTACCGTAAAGAATGGGGACGGACTGTTTCGAGTATCCCGACGTATACTGTTGTCAGTTCGCAGAACATGCTGCCCATATGGAAACGTTTTCTTCGTTTGGAAGTATTATCCATTTATGCAGCACTTACCACAACCATAGTAGGAATTGTATCCTCTCACTCGTGTGACGAAGGAGCGTGCCGGTTTGTCACAAATAATTGCATCCAACACGACCTGATGATGCAGGTCATTAACGACAACTCCCAGACGCAGGAGCTCTTCCAGTTCCTGCACTACGTCATTCAGGTATGTACAAACGTCCTCGGGTTTACGAACTCCTCCATAAAGCCCAACAAGGAATACCGGGCTAGTGAAGGGCCGCACAATACGTGCTAGTATAGGCCAGATTACGGTTGTACCGTTATTGTGCAGCTTCATCACATTTACATTCATATGTAAATGGATAATATAAGGTTGGGGTGGCAAGTACATCGGCACAACCCGGCGAAGCCCGTTCGCAATGCCCAAGTGGATGTCTTCTTCTGGGGGGACTTCTCTAGTTGGACATGACCGGGGTGTTCTCATCAGTGTCCGCGCGTCTTGAGGCAATTCAGGAAGCTTATGCTGCAATGATACAAGCAGGCGATTCACGGTACTGAAGGGGACATTGGTCGAAATCATCCAGTCTCGGAAAATGTCCGCCAAACTAGGCTGGAACATATTCTCCTCTTCATTATCCGCCTCATTTTGTTGTTCATCTAATTAGAACATTAGTCATCTAATGGCATTTTACTGTGAGCTAGTGAATCGATCTCCTGATCTGCACGGTGAAAGTCGCGTGCGTTCATCGAATTAGGTGGTTGTTCCAAGGCTAACTCTCTAGCACGCTTTAGTTTGCGGTTGTGTCCACCTTGAAATGAGCAAACCACGTTTGGAAGGCTACAGTTGTCATACATGTATCAGAAGTCATGACTTACCATTCCTCCAGATAGAAACTCACAAACACGTGGAGGTAGCAGGCGCGTGGGTCAGCGACGATCCTGGGAATGGGCTTGGCGGCTACGGCCATTTACTTAAACACTGATGCAGATAAACAAAAAAGTGTCAGGGTGGGTTTCTTAAATTCCAATGGGATAATGCACTTTTATTTTATGCCAACACTTTGTGTGATAAGAAAAACCTATGTGAAAAAGTGTGGCAACAACACTTCGTGTTGGTTGGGTGATAGCTACACGGTTAAATAACCGTCAAATAACCGACTTTAACCGCCATATAACCGACTAATAACCGAGTTGTGCTGCTAGGGAATCTATAAAAAATGTTATCTCCCACTTTCGTCGTCACTTTCATTTTGCCTTTCTATTTCTCATGGGCCTGAAACGTTACAGTGTATTCGGAGGAGGTTACGGTAGTTTAAATCTGACTTCTGTTCTGTGTGCAGAAATGAGGCTAAATGCTCCAATTCCATTAGCATACTGTTCACCTGTACAGTGAGTAGTTTGCACGCGCATCCATCCTTTTTAATCAAAGTAGCACATTTCACTGGAGCTAAGTAGATGTCACCACTTTGGGCGAGCTTGCACACTACCAGAGGTCTTTCATTTTGTGTATGCTTTCTCACGCGTGGTGATATCCAAGCTTTGTCAACGTCATGTATCAGAGGTGAAATTATGCTTCATAATTTTATATTGCGAATGTAGCGTTTTTATTCTGTAAACAAATGTTTGTCTTGGAGATTTTGATCCAACCGATTTTTGCCATTCCACTTCTATGTCAGCGTGAGTTCTCCTTGCTGTCAGAGTGTCGATATTCCGGCAGGACAGTTTGCTGCACCAGGAGAATTTTGGACAGTTTCGTGGAAAAATGTAGCGTGACTGCCTACGTACTCAAGGCTAATTAAGTACGACTGACACCAATTAGGTGGAGCGGCTATGCGAATAGCGCTTCCGGGGATCACCACATCTGGAGGAGACTGGTGAAGGAGGTTGATTAGGTTTTGAGGGTCAGACTTGTTAGTCAGCGTCTGTCTAGATGGCCTTGAAAAAAACGCCTCTCTTACTGTCTAGTGGGTTGAACGTTTGAGTTACAGGCTTGTGGTTAAATGCTTTGAACAACTGTTGCGCGAGCATTCACTGTGGATCTTCTTGGGGTCGATAAAGAGGGATGCTGTTCACATGCTTGTTCAAGATTCCACCCATATACAGGACACACTGAATAATCTGAATAACTTTGCGCTTTGCATCGTCCAACTTCAAAGTGCCATTACGAGACTAGGTGATTGGGTCCCCAAATTTTCTCATGGCACCAAGACCATTAGAGATAGTGGAAAGATTGTCAATGATAATCGTTTGGCTGTAATACCCTTTCACTACAACGCTGCAACGTCACCCAAAGGAGGCATGAAGGTTGAGGCATTGTCAGGAGCATTGACAGAAGCAATCAGAATTACTGAGGTAAGATTAAACTCAAGGACCTTCGTGCATTCGGTTCGAGGCTTGATCACTAAGCGGTCTCAGCAACTTGAGTGGTAGTCTTGTATTAGATCCGAGACGTGCGGACAAAGGAAAGCGCATGCTGCTGGTATGTGTTTATCACAGACTTTTGTTCTGCAGTACTAACTTCCCAAATAGCGGAAATTGTTTGACTACGTTGAGTGCACTGATGAACCAGCCGCAAATCCACTAGTTATGGGTGAGGAGGTTGAATCCTACCTCTTACTGAGACACCTGTCTAAACTAAGAACCAGCACTTGTCCTACGTTGCTTTTCTCGCGCTTCTAAAATCTACACGAAGGATGCACGTCTTGCATAGCCATTGAAAAGCTCAGAAATCAAACAAACCTGCTAAAACCAGCTCCTCTATCTCCTACCGGTGTAGGTCTGCGATTATTTAATACAGATATAAAAGCGCTATTTAATAGTGAAACCTTTTTTCCGCGGTGCAACCAAACCAACATCATGTACTTACTAGATCTGTGACAAGACCATAAATTTCCCCTGGGCCAGTCAACAGATTTTTTCCAGATTCTTCCTCCTAGACTAGAACGTCTGTGCACTTAGCCAAAACTTTCAGCCTAGGATTCTCCTGCCTAAGTTTGTGCAACATTGTGATACCTCAGTCTTTATATCTTCTTCAGAGAGAGGGAAAATAACAGCTATTCACTGGGAGGGTTTCACAACTGGACAGTTGGTATTATTAGTTTAAACCGCAGCTAAACCCAAAGAATCGTCAAACACGAGGTAAGAAGAAACATTCACACAAACCAGAAAACTTAGAGGATGAAAAATTCAGAAGAAACAGAAAAGCTAAAATCCCCGGAGATATCCTCAGATTGTTTCATTTGCTTTGTCCGGGTGGCCCTTTTCAGCCTCTTGCGAGTGGTATCATCGGCGATCACACTAACAGAAGCGAAAGACATTTGAAATATTGGGCAGAATACTTTGAGCAGGGATTCGTTCAACCATCTAGTACTTTGAATCCAAACTACCAGCCTTTAAAAAGGCGTGGAATATGAACAAGTAGCCTCAGAAGTGCCAGAATGTATATCTCTATTTGAACGTCATTGAGCAGCTCCTCCCACAGATCCTCTACCTGCTCTATTTAAGGTTGACATTGAATTTCTTAGCCATTACTTTTTCAACCAAGTTGCCTCTGTGTGGAACTTTTCAAGGTCAAAACACGGTGTGCTGCAATAAGATGTTATACTCCCACGATTCGGTTGCCCACGGCGATCGAAAAATCTGGGTCATGCACCACATGGTACTTAATCTTGTTGACACCGTTGGAGCCAGATATGGTCCGGAACTCCTGAACGTTTTAGGTAACAGGATTAAGTGTCAACAATGCTCATCTTCAGAAATGTCGCTGACAACGAATGTGTTGACCACGAGGGCATCATTTTGACTTCCACTGTAGGTAAACTTCTTATGTCACATATTCTTCATCATCATACATTCGCACGCAAATCTTTGACACGCGGGCGTCAAGTGGAATTTTAACCACGTAGAGTATGCGGTGACCACATGTTCATACTGTGTCAGGTGTCACAGCGACGCCATATATACGGACGGCCCACACTCCATGCGCCCCTTGACTTCAAGGTTATCTTCTACTTCGTCTTTCAGTCAGTGCTCCTAACTAAAACTGCTTAACGAAGTATGGCCCAGAACAAAATTCGCCCCTTATTTTCATGTATTTCTGGTTGTGAAACGCTGCAAAAGGAGCTTTCTTGCTCTCTTACAGAAGGATCTCCGAAGATCTGCACCCTCTTTATCCTCATTCGGCTTTTTCGTAATTGAAGCACACGCTTGAATGCCTTCCAAATTCGTATGTTTAGAATGTTGCTGGCGAGAAGCTTGTCGACACAGAGCATACAGACAACATTATCCTTATATTTTGGGCGTGAGCTTTACACCTACAAAGTGCAAAGCCGTACTACGGAACTTGGAATCGATTAACATGCCGTTCGTAATCCAGTGTAAGCACTTGATGTTGTGAGGAATTTTACATGCTTCAGTAGTTGTGTTAGCTCTGACAGAATTGTGTCTGATAAAGTAGGTTCAATTCAATCTAGTTCAATTTATCAGCTACGAACCGTGTACGATAGGCACATTGGTTTCAGCTAATACAGTTCTGATTACCAAAAAAACGGCAGTGTTGGACGTACGACCAAGCCTTAGAATTGAAAAAATGTTCAGTTTGTTCGATAATTTGTTAGATATGCATTGAAGGCGATAGCTTTGATGCAAGGGTGCCAATGGCTGCGTGATTGGGCAATTTTTCTATTGTTGTTAACCATTGGTGACTTGAGTTCCTAAGTCCCCATCCATGGAGGAAGTTGCCCACCCGATTAAGTATATTGGTTAGTGTTTTTACACACTGTCTACCTCTCGGTTGCTTCCAGTCTGCACAGGGCTGAAAGAAAGAGTTCTGTAAAGCAGACGTTCTTCTGACATGCGTAGTACATGTACCAACCGGAACAAACTATGAGGTGTGAATATTTGTTCTGTCTTCTTTCTATGACCATCTCACATACCTGAGCATCACTAGTCCGATGTCCCCACCATACTTGACCAACGTTTTTAGACACCCATGATCAAACAGTGACATATTCCGCATGTCTTCTGCGCGTAAAGGCTAAGTTTATTATCAATAAGGTAGTATGGATTGCACCATCGCAGTGTAAACTCTTCCACTGACAAACAAACTGACACCTCGTCAGTGCCATAGCTGTCAGAGGTTGGAAAAAGCTGGCCTGGCTTTTAAGATTTGAGAAATAACCTTATCTTCAGCCAGTTCACCGGAGCTTATACAGCTGCTCAGGTAGAAACTTTATCTACCACGTCGATTGGTTTGTGTGCAAGCATGATGTGTGGGTTCGATCCAACCAGTCTTGTAGCAGCACTCTGCACTTTGCAGTGTAAGAATCTCAAAGGTCAGAATAACGCCCTCTAATTTGCATCACCTGTAGCGTCAAAGACATGTCATTATGTCCTAAAGGTCATGCGTACAAGTCTACGGCAAAGGCTGTGTTGTTGTGTGGTTGCGAAACAGGCAATATAAAATGTTTCCCAGTCCTCTATCACCGATTTCTCAGAAGTTTTGCTTCTGTCAAATGGGGCTAACAGATTGGCAATAGGGTATTTGGAAAGCGATATTTGGTTGTGCGGCAAATACATCAGTCACTCGATGCATCCCACACCATCAGTTGTAACGGTTCGTTCATGTGCACTTTGTGATAAATTCTTAGCTACCAAAA